ATTAATAAAAACAACTTTTTGCAGAATCCAAAGGTAGAAATTTCTCTTTAAGCCTAGACTTCATTTTCTCCCAAGAAGTAATTTTAGGCTTTCCCTTGTGAAGCCTCATCTCTTGAACTTTGTCCCACCATGCCGAAGCATAACCTCGAAGCCTTGTTGTCACAAGCTTCACTCTTTGATTCTCGGGTGAACCAAAATGTGTGTGAAACGATACATTCATAAGTAAGAAAAATAAGATGTAAGCAGTACACACATGAAATAGAAGTGGCCTTATGCCCTCAATACATCCCTTTACAAATTACACCATGAATCTTAAATGGACAGATTTGTAAGAAATTACAATAATCAAATCCAAATAAAGTGCTATAACATAGTGTTTATCCCATTATTTTTGGACAAATGGAAAGATGACGTGGTGAGTTCTAGCGAACTTGCCACACTGGATTACTGCCTAATTACTTAAAAAAGGAAGTTATATTGTGGCATCATTAAAGTTGATTTTACGCTATAGTACCATATAGACTCACGCGTAAGATGAGGATCAAGAGAGAGATTATCTACCAATAAGAAGGCAGCATGTGGCGAGTTCAAATGGAACTTGCCACCCTAGATCACAATTTTGGCAAGCTTGGAAAGGAAGGTCATATTGAAGCATTAAAGCACATATGTGACTTCACGTAGTAATCCAAAGCAAGGACCATTAAGCCAATCATATTCCGCCACATGGGGTCCTTTAAGTTAAGAATATAGTGAATCTTGTAAGACTTGCCACACTAGATCAATGGCCCACAATTTCCTAATGATGTGAAAAATAAAGATTGCATGGAAATACTACTATACATGCAACCTTACTCAATTATTCAAGGCAAGACTCATGTAACCAATCAGCTTTTGCCACATAGAGTCTATGAGATAATGGTGTTCGTAAACCAATAAGAGAGTGACACGTGGCGAGTCCTATGGAGCTTACCATGGTATATCAATTCTTTTAAGAATTAGGGTTATAGAAGGTTTAAGACAACACTATGTGTTGTCAAAATCCTTAAGTAGATGGAGACTTCCCAAAATATGGCAAGACTAAGTTGACCAAGTAAAGAAAAGGGTGAACGTAGTGCTAAATCTTCCCCCTATTTTGTAGGGAAATCCCAACAATTACTCGGTCAGTCATTATCCATGCCCAGTCAACACAAGGTTGCTAAAGATAAGGGACGTGGGTGATCATCCATAAAATGGGGAAGTGTATATATGGATATATGTATATATATGTATATATACATATATATATACACATGCTAAAGAAGAAATTGCTGAAATCATGATGCCATAGAAGCAAACCAGAAGGAAAGTCCAACTAAAAGGAGTTGCCAAAGTTGAGGAGAACGTGAGTATACAAATAACAGACATATACATGCATGATATATATAGAATTATATAAGGACTCTATGCAAGGAAAGGATTATCAGAAACGTGGGACACTTGGCCGAATACTAACACATCAGATGGAGGTTGGTAGTTTTTCATGCTATTACTACCACGAACTGAAAGAAGTGGTGGAGATAATGGATAACATGGCTGAATTTATGGAACTATGTGTCTAAAATAAAGGAAGAGTCCATGCACGAAGAGGAAGAACAAGAGAAACATGGGACACATGGAGTCCTATGGAAAGGCTAGGCGGAATGATCGACTTTAAACTACCCACAATTCAGAATCGTGGAGGTTTTAATGGTTGAAGTCAAGCACCAGAAGAAAGCGAGAGTAATAGGAAGATGGAAGTAGGTGGATGCAAAATAAAGATAACTGCCAAGAACATGGGACACTTCGCAATCCAAAGACAAGCCAAGTGGTAGTTGCCGAAAGTGCCACACTTCAATTACTGCATGGAAGAACTCTATAAATAAGGCACTTAGGCCTAACATGCAAATCATGTTTAACATACACAACAATACAACATCTTTGCTTATCAATTTATTTTCATTTATCTTTACATTCCAGTAATGTAATTCAATTATGTCTAATTTAAGTCCAACACTTTCTTTTCCTACTTTCCAACAAGTAGTCCATAGCACTTTTAATTCAAAGTTCAGCACTTTCAATACCGTCTTTCTTTCCACTAGGTATAGAACAATCCCGAAGTCCTTTTTCAAGGCAAAAAGAACCTTTGAATGTAGTCATTCCAGTTCTTCGTACAATCGCCTGATCCCAACAACTTCCAACCGGAATAATGTTTGGAGCTCCACTTTGGAACGACAGTAGTTCCTGGCACGCCCGCATCTCCTTCCTTTCCACTCGCCAGGAAAGGAACACGATTTTTGAGAGCCAAAACACATAGCATGCTCTAAAGCTTCAATTAAAGTTATCAAGCATCCAACAGCAACTCCAAGGCAAATCTCCATCCCTGAAAAATGTTAATATAATGGGGTGAGCACAACGGCTCAGTAGGAATGTCTCATGAATATAAACTAGGTTTCTCGAACATGCTCCCTAACGTCTAGTCTCAAGGGAACCTATCAAGGATAATCCTAGACTAGCATACGAATAAGCCATAATCCTAGACTAGCATACGAATAAGCCATATATGTATATACACACATATATATGAAAGATAGAAACCACCTCATTACAAGTAGTCATATAACGAGAAGACAACATTTCACTAAAAGCAAACATAAGCACAATAGTGAAGCAAAGTAAACCACAAGTTGCAATAACACATAAATGCCAACTTGAATAGTAAAATCCAATATCAACAAATGGGATAACTCGAAAACACACCCACACTCCCGTTCACATAGCCATGTTATGTGCCAATAAAAATATGGTCATTCTTAAACTATTAACCTTACCGGAAACCAACCGAGTGGCTGCTAAAAATTGGGGAAACTCACGTTTCACCCACGAGCGCCAAGCCCTCGCATTCTCACGGAATCAAATCCGAACAAAACCCGAATATCTCCCAAATCAACAACCAATCCACAAGATAATCAATATACCATGATATGCCCGTATTGCACGTCACAAGTGCAAGTAAATCATACTAATCACACAATCCACGCCCTATGGTCCAAATCACTACAATGACGTACTCATTGACGCAATGTTAATAATTTGGGCATTTTATAGTCATGTCATATCATATGAACATTTCATCAAATAGAAGATGTTCAAACTCAATATCATCATATATACATGTTTTTCAAGGGCAAATTTCACAAGCCACAAATATACATGTTCATATACCAATCTCATTGATAAACGTAATACATAAGGCACTTGAACTGCAAGTAAATATACATACCAAGAGTTAAGGTTTCAACAATCACAAATAATGTTACCAATGGGCCAATTAAGCATGTTATATATGAATCCAATATAATGTCTTTAGAACATCAACCCTAGAAATCTCCAAACCAAAAGTGCTCCAAATGCGAAATCAACTCCAAAAGGTTGAAGAGGATAAAGAAGAGAGTAGAAAATCCTCTCGTGGCATCTTCAAAATCCAATCTAGAGCTCACACCCAAAAATCCAAGTTGCTCCAAATCCGAAATTGATTGGTGGGTTTTGTTTCTCTCGGTGTCCCCGTTGGTTTTCTCTTCTATGGGTAAGTAAGAAAACCAAGGGAAAGAGCCAAAAAGTGAGCTTGAAGGCTTGAAGCCAATGTTCAACAATGGAGTATAGAGAGAAAGAGAAAAGATGAGAGAGAAGGAAAAGGTGAAAAGTGAGGGTGATGGCTTTGTCTCTCTCTCTCTCCTCACATATAGATACATATATTCTATATTACCAAACAATCTCCCTTCACCACACAATGCACTAACTAGCCTCGCTCATTCTCCTCCACACAAATAATGGTCAACAAGTCAAAGTGGGCCCCACCTTTAAGTAAATGCAATAAAAACCAGCAATGATAAAATAAATACACCCATGTGTATGCAATGCCTCGTAAATTTCGTGAATGATAGATGCAACACTAATGAAATAAATGAAAAGTGTTAGAAAAATTCCTGAACACTTGACCCGACCCAGGTCCACAAGGTCCGAACACCAAAATGAACGGAAAAAGAAAATAAGGGAAATGGAAAAGAAAACCAGTCCTTGCAAAGGTTTTAGGACTATTCACGCATATGTACTCTCTCGGACAACTCATGCATATTCTTATTCTTAATTGTTCTTTGTTTCTTTTCTTTCCTTTTTTTTCTTTTCTTTTCTTTTCTTTTCTTTTCGAGGAATTCCACAATTGGTGACATGGATGAATTTTCTCACCTATTTTTTGGGTACTTAGGGTCCCTCTTGGCTTTTGGCCTTTGTGTAGCCTTCGGGACGCATTCCCCCTTTGAACTCCTTTGAACGTTTACTAATACATTTTTACTTATAAATAAAAAAAAGAAAAAAGGATGAATTCTCTCATCTAGTACTACATTAGCTAGAAAGTCCGCTTGTTCCGCTTGTTCTTATGATTTTAATTTGCATGTAAGCAAGCATTGAAGAAGCTACTTCCAAAGGACCAACAGGCGTGTAATTCCAATTAATGGGGCAATAATAGAGTGAAATGAAAGTAATGCATAAACAATGTATTCAATTATTTCTAAGACCTAACCCAATAACTTAATAACAATAACTTCACAATTATATAGAAGGGCTTTCATACCCAGTTCGACCAGAAATGGGATTAAATAAAACCTGGAAAAGACCAAAATACAGTGTTAATTGAACTTTGCTGTTCTCTTTGGTATGTGCATAGACGAATAGCACTCCTATGATGTTGATGGACCCCCACCCCACCACTTCTATAAAATTAAAAATAAAAATCTAAGTTCAACGGCATTGAACCCCACTATGAAGTACAACAATATAGTTCAACTTCAAACTAAAAACTTCATCACTAAACAGTAAATACCTCCTACATTGTTATGCAGATGCTAAAATAATCCTACTACTGTGGCATAAATAATATGAAACATGAAATTTTACCAGAAAAATATAGAATGGAAGTGCGTTTTTACCTGTCTAGTTGATCTTTCTCCCAGCTTTCACTCTCTTCATAGTCTTGGTCAATCCTACAGCCACAGTTGCAGTTGCGATAGGGCGAGACAAGGGTCTCCACATAGGTCATCCCTGCTCTATAAACAGCTGGAATGCCACTCACCACTATATCTCTTGATGTTTTCTCTTTAGCATTTAATGCAACCAATTTCTCTCCATTCATATCCACTAAAACTTCCTCATCCCCAAGAAAACACAAGGGTTCCATCTTGTAAAGATCAGTTGCACAGATTGTATGTTTGGTCCAAGACTCCGTCACCCCATACTCTTTCATCACCCAAAAATCAATTTGGTCACCACTAAGAGACACACACATGCAGAGACACCCTCCGAAAACCCCCAAATTAAAGCACAAAAAATTGCTCTGGTCAGGTGAGCAAGGTGTCTCCACAACCCGGAATTTCTCATCTCCTAAATCAAAAGCAGAAACCACAAAACTACCCGAACTCGTGTAACTCAACCAATGCAAACACCCATTAACAAGAACCAACGAGCAAGGCTCTAGAGGAGAATCATCACAGGGGACATTTTCAATCCTCCTCCAAGAATCGGTTTTTAGTGAATACACACTTACAATTGAATTAATAAAATCATCATCATCATCTCTGTCGTCGTCGTCATCATCGTCATCATCAATATCCTCTTTACCCTCAATCGTCACAACCTTGTAATCATCTGTAGACGAATCGTACCCGAGTCCGTACATGGTGTAGACTGAAAATGTTTGGTGGCGAAAAGGGGAATCGGGTAACTCCTTGCCCTCTCGAGTTGATGGATTCAGCAAAAGCTTGACGCCATCTCCGTCGCTAACTAGAATCAACCCATTGCAAGAACCCATGATATCGAACTCGTCCGGGTCTGCAATCTGGAAAAAATCATGCTTCATTGCAGTGACGGCATCGTTGTTGGATGCTTCAGTGCAGTCGACGGAGTAAAGACAGTCCGAATAGAAAATGAATCTCTGGGGCTTGTTGTTGATTCGATTGAGGTGTGCTTCGTGAAAATTAGGGTCTGAGATTAGAAGAAAAAAGGACTTGGATACGGATTTGAATCGGCAGAGAGACTTTGGGGGCAGTCGATAGAGTATTTCAAGGAGCATGTCTACCGGAAGCTTTGAGCCGTACGACATTGCCACCGCACACAGTGCTTCTTCTCGGCGTTTGCTCTCTGGCCTCCAGACCTAGGGCATGATTATGTAACTTCTGATTTTTTAAATAATAATAATTAAAAAAAGAAGTTTAAATACTAGTTATCGTGTCATTTAGGTACAGACTCTTCTAAGAAAAAACAAATGGTAACATTAATTGGTGTGGCACGAAATGTGTGAGACACGCCACTTTAAAACGATAGTGTTGATGATGATTAGTTGATTTCAAATTATCTAAGATCTGACAAAATATCTAACACTGGCGTCATTTTATTTGTGTCTTCCCATTGGAGTTGTATTTTTCTATTGTAATTTTTAAATGTTTAATTATTCACTTTTGACTTACCAAAATAAGGGGTAATATGCAAAAAATAAATAAATAAATAAATAAAATAATAATAAATAAATTCTCCCCTAATTTGAAACATGAGCAAATAACACTTCTTATGTTCAAATTTCATTTTTATAATATGAAAAGTGAGTAAATAAAAATTTATTGTTAGCTAAATAAAATGAGATAAACAAAAATGTTAAAATGCCCCTCAATATTCTCTTTACAAAACTAATAAAATTTGAGTACAAATTAAAATTACTTAAAAAGGCTTACACAAAATTAGAAAGGAAAATCAAATATAATATAATATAATATAAATAATAAATAATCAAAAAATATAGTTATTATATATATATCTTTAAATCAAATAAATAATAATAATAATTATTATTATCTAAAAAATTAAATGAAATATATGTTGAAAAATAAATGCTTCATGTGACATTTAAGATATAACAAACATTATACTAATATGAGATAATTAACAATATGTTAAGAAATGATTAATTAAATTGTAAGGACCCAATTTAGGGGTCCGGATCGCTAATCGGGTCCTAAACCGACCCGGGGTCATCTAGGGGTATTAGGATTATTATGTACCCTACTACGAATTAGGAGTCAAAATGAAGTCATACTAGTCATTTAAAACTAAATTGGATCATTAAAGAATGGTAAATCCGACTTCGAGTTCATGCCCAAACCTTAGAACATCCTTCCGCCAAACTGTGGGAACAACAATCAAACTCCTGAATCTTAGACCTCCATCTGCATACAAGGTCCAATATTTCACTATCTCACTACTATAAATCAATATGTGAATGGCATCTAAATCCGGATCCTGTCTTTGTGACCCAATCACTCGACTAACAAGAGTAGGCTCAGCTATAAGACTAAATAAAAATGTCGAATCACTGTCGTCATCGACCTCATCAAACTGCAATCCCATCTCAGCCAAGTCTTCCAACATCTTTCATTTCCAAATGGCTAAACTAGCTAAAGTCCCATGAGATTTCTAGCTTAAAACATTAGTTACAACATTTGCATTGCCCGAATGATACTGTAAATCAAAATTGTAGTCCTCCAAGAACTCAACTCATCTGTTCTGCCTGTTATTCAAGTCCTTTTTAGAGAAAATGTACTTGAGACTCTTGTTATCCAAGAACATCTCGAATCTCTTACCATACAAGTAGTGTCTCCAATACTTCAAGGCAAAAACAACTACCGCCAACTCCAAATCATGAATAGGGTAGTTATGCTCATGATTCTTCAGCTATCAAGACCCATAAACAACTACTCTACCATCCTGTATCAACACATAACCCAATCCATCACGTAAAGCATCACAAAAGATAGCATAACTTAAGCCATGCTCAGGTATCACCAACATTGGAGCCGTAATCAACCCCGTCTTCAACTCCTAAAAGGATGACTCACAGGCTTCGTTCTACACAAACTTGATCCCTTTTCGGGTCAATCAAGTCATAGGTGCTGCCAAATAGGAAAAATCCTTCATAAAGCTCCGATAATAACCCGTTTGGCCAAGAAAACTCCGGATCTTAAACACATTGTTGGGATGCTCTCAATTCAAAATCGCTTCTATCTTTGAAGGATCCATTAATACACAGCCTCCCTAAATAACATGTACCAAAAACTTTACTTCTTGTAGCCAAAACTCACACTTCTCGTATTTAGGGTACAAACTGTGCTATCTCAAAATCTGCAAAATCGTCCCCAAATGGATCTTGTGCTCTTCTCGAGATCATGAATACACAAGGATGTCGTCCATGAACACTACCACAAAAATGGTCCAGATAATCATGGAAGACACGGTTTATTAAGTCCATGAATGCTGCTGGCGCATTAGTCAAACCCAAGGCATCACAATGAACTCATAATGTCTATACCGTATACGGAAAGCCTTTTTTGGAATATCCTCATCCCTAACCCACAACTGATAATAGCCTGACCTCAAATTAATCTTAAAAAAGCAACAACTTCCCCTCAACTGATCAAACAAATCATCTATCCTTGGTAAAAGATACTTGTTCTTGATTGTGGCATAGTTCAACTTCCGGTAATCAATGCACAACCTCAGAGAACCATCATTATTCTTAGCAAACAAGAATGGTGCTCTCTACGGTGAAACATTCGGTCGAATGAAACCTTTCATCTTCAAATAGTCAAGCTGCTTCTTCAACTTATCCAGTTCCATCGATGCCATACGATACGATGCCATAGAGATTGACGCGGTACCAAGCATCAAATCAATAGCAAACTCGATCTTCCTTCTAGGAGGTAATTCCATTAAGTCTTCTGGAAAAATATCCAAGAAGTCACAGACAACTGTTAAATAAAAATCTTCCACAACATTATCTTTTTCGGCTAAAAGACTAATTAAAAGAAGTCACGTCGACCTCGTCAGCTAAACCCGTAAAACGAAGGGGTGTGGAAATCACTCCGATCTCCCACGAAAAGGAAACAATCTCCCTCAGGAGTACAAATGGTGACTCTACCTCGGAAGCAATTGATCGTCACACGAAAAGAAGCTAACAGTCCATCCCGAGAATGAGATTAAAACTAATCATCTCAAAAAGGATAAGGTCAAACACAAGTGTTCGTCTGGCTATCATAATAGAGCAATCCTCACAACTCTACTTAAGGACAATGAAACCCCAATTGGTGTATCAACGCACAATACCCGATCTAGTTAACTGACCTCTAAACTCGATGCAAGTGCAAATGAAGATGAGATGAAAGAATGGAATGCACTAGAATCAAACAATGCACGACCCAAAACCAAACACTGGGAGTATACATCGAAGAACTGATAGACCAGATGATGTGTTGGTTGGAATAACTACATAGACCCGACCCTGAGGTATCTGTGCTTGTGAACCACTGTAATTCCCCTAATTTTAAAAGGACAGTTCTGGAATTTAATTATTGTATTTAATTGCATTTTATTTTATTATGTGTCATTTTATTGGATTATTTGCTTGCATTCTTGACTTAATTGATTTAGTTAGACTATTTGTTTTAATTGCCTTATTTGGTTAATGGTATAATTGATTTAGTTTTAATTGCCTTATTTGGTTAATTGTATACTTGATTTATTTGTTTTAAATTGTCGTGATACTTAGGTGGTTTTAAATTAATCATTTAATCATTAAATAAATTAGAGTTTAATTTTTTTATATGAAATCATGTGTTGGGCCGATCACATTAGGGCTCAGTAGATAATTATACGTGGATTAGGGTTTTGGGAGTAAGCCTATAAAAAAAACTCTGTTATGCCTTAGCCTAGGGTTTTGGTAAGAGCATAACACAAAACAGTTAAACGTAGGGATAGGTTGTGACAACAGTGAGATACAGAGGGAGAAACATAGAGAAGGATTGCAGAGGCAGAGGATTAGAGGTTCAATCTGAAACTCAAAGGCAAGTTTCTGTTCCGCTCTATTCTCTTTAATCTGTGTTCTGTACATGTTTAGCAAGACTCAAGGAATTAAAATCAGACTTAATTGCATCTTTTCTGCATCTGTAATTAGTGTTTAATTGCATGGAAGTAAATCTGTTAATAGTTGTTTAAAAAAAAATCAATCTGAAACTTAACTGCCGTTGTGAAACAACTCATGTTTTAAATGCAATTTGTGTTTTAAATTCATGTCTTGATTTAATATCATTATGTATGACTAATCTGGAAGAGGATGGGACTTTCAAACATGGATAAAACTAAGTTCAGAGATTTGAATTCACCGGAGTCAGAAAAGACGAGAGGAGAACAGGCTACGGCTCTTAGGGGTGAGAGCAGGCTCAAAAAAACGGAAGGAACCTGCTCACACAAAGCTAGAGCCGGCTCTCTAGGGTTGAGAGTCGGCTCTCAACAACCTAGAGCCGGCTCCCAAGGGTGGGGAGCCGGCTCTCCTTGCCCAAAGAGCAGGCTCTTCAATTTCTAGAGCCTGCTCTCTCCTATTTGTGCGTCTATTTTGGATTTTAAGGATTGTTTGGTTAGGACTGATTTTTAAAGCTATCTTAAAGCTTCTGGAGGGTGAATTTCACTGATAAAAACTTGTAAAATAATAGTGAAACATTAATTTATAAATTGATTTAATCAAGGAATAACATTCAGTTAGGAAAACTAGTAACCTTCACACTGTCTGGTGGGTTTTATGTTACTGGAATTTGGCAGAGTGTATATATATAATTTAATTATGTATAATCATATATTTTTCCAGCGTAATAAGTATAGTGAATTAATTATGTTTAACTATACTTGGGTTGGATTTACATTGGATACTCAAACGGTTGTAGTTGGATCGTTTTATTGACTGATTTAAACAATAAACTATGTATTGGACTGTGGAATTTCTGTATTATATAATTTACTGCTTTATTGTATTTATACAGAAGTATAAGAATAGTAAGTGCGTGAAACTATCTGTTCTTGATTTGGAATGAATTGATAGGGTTGTTTATAAACTCTATCAATCTAAGGATTTTGTGGAGGATTGGAATACTGCGACTTGTATTAGCATTTTAAAAGATTAAAATGTGATATTTGGATTCTGTAATAATTCTTATTGTCTTGGTATATGTTTTAAATGGTATTGATACATATTATGGATAATAGTTGATGATTATTTAATATTGTTATCAACTATGTTAACCGGAGGATGGTATGTACCGGTATGGGACGATGACATACTAGGTATGAACTAGATCAAACACTAAGTTCTATCTAACTTGGATTAAGGTATGGATTAATCATAATGGTTAAGTCCATCACCTACATACGTCATATCGA